TGTATAAATATAAACAACAAACATAATATGTAATTATACGTAAATAATATTTATGTTTTTCGTATTGCACCGCCTTTCTTTCCTTCCCCTTTATAACGTCATTATTAAGACCTGCTTATATCTATCTTTCCTGCACACCCACCCCCCCCCTTATCTTTTGAGGGAATGAAACCCGGTGATACGAGATATTGACCAGCCGGTTATACACGTAAATTGGACTGATTACTGGACAACTCCACATTGGTTCAGAGTTTACTGAGTGTCTCCCTCGGATGGTAACTGTTTAACTCTTGACCTTGTAATATACAAATGTGAATAACCTATGGGTCAAATGTGCATGCAACTGGAAATGGGGGGAAGGGGGCGGGGGCTTAGGGGAGAGGGGGGTTTGGGGTTGGGGTGAACGTGAACAGACATGATTCTTGCAAGTCTAAATTTCACTGAAGGAGGAAATAGACAGAAAAATGATCCTAGTCCACTCTATAACAGACAGACAGACAGACAGGCAAACAGACAGACAGACAGACAGACAGGCACACACACACACACACACACACACACACACACACACACACACACACACACAAACACACACAAACAAACACACAACACACACACACACGAGCAATTACCTTCTTTGTATCTATCATCTATCTGACCGACTGGATGATTCTCATCCATCCATAGGGGGGGATTTATTGTAAATGCACACCCTTCCCCTTTCTTCCTGCATTGACTCAATGTGTATAATTTTTGGGGTCGGTTTTTTCCTTAATATCTCGGCAGGCAGAAGACGGAGATACTCGATAAAGAATCATTTTTCCAAGTTCTCCAAGAAGGAATTGAATTAAAAAAACAATAACTGTCCTTTCGTGTATATAGTTAATGTATGGTTGTTAAAGTTCTTCTTCGTGTGGTTGAACTGGTTTTTCTTGTAAACACAAAAAGAAGGAGGAGAGATAAGGACGATAGAGATATTTTTGCTAGGAACGAAGGAGCAAACCACACCATAGCACCTCTGACAACCAACCACCCAAGCTATCTGCAAATTGCATTTTACTTTATATACATGAATATCTAAGTAAGGACTCGTCACTGACGTGGATTTTTTCTCATAATAAACCCATTCTTGGTTCCTGTCAGTGAATATAATTTTCCCTTTGGCTCTTTATGAAATTTGAATGATGTTCGCTCTTTATTGACTTCAACTTCAAGCGGGTGATTGGACGATGCCACAAGAAAGTCCTACTTTTTTCTCTCTCCCTCTCTCTATCTCTCCCTCTTGTTTCTGTCAGTGTGACTTATTCCCTCCTTCTCTCCCCGGCACTGAATTAAATTTATTGTTGGGTTGAAGTGGTTTTCTTTTCTCAACGTGCTTTTGGCTTGGTTTTCACTTTATGTCTTCTTCGCACAAAAGTAGCTGTAGCCCCTCCCACCCTTGGCCACAGAATAACTATACTACCCATATAATATCCATGCTACATTATAATATCTTCGGAAAAAGAAGGGGAAAGGACAGAAAGACGACGGGGTAAGCAAAATAGTATGATTATATA